CCTCTCTGCTTTTTTTCATTTTGATGTTCCTCCTCCTCTGTGAAGCCTGAAGTCAACTAAAGGGCTAATGATAACTATTAAAACGTCTGCCATTTGATATAAATAAATTGTTAAATTCGTTTTTGGTGGCGTAGCATCCCTTTATTTTATTACAAATTAAGTCTCTTCACTTGATCTTCAATACCGGATCTCTGACACCTATCTCTATCATAATAATCTCTTTCTTTGTAATTTGTTGGGTAAATTTTAGGGGTGTTGATTCATTCTCTTGCTTTAATTTCCTTTCTTTTAAAATAAACTTTTTGCGATTGTCAAATTAAATTTTATTGAAACACAAATGCATAATAGTGGCTTGCAGCTAACATATTTTGGTGGTGAGAAGACGGTTATATGAATGGGAATTTGGGATATGGCCTTTCTTTTGTTAACAGCCTGCTATTTTGATTGCAATGATAATGTGAAAGCAATACACGAAGGTGAACAGATTAAGGAATTGGAGAACTATATATACACGGGAAATTAAAAGGGTAATTGGGCCATTTTAGCCTTTTAATCAAGAGGTTTCCATAGCTTCTGTTGGGTTTAGGGCCTCTGTGTTGGATCTTAGCTTTTTGGGAATGAGGGTGGAATTTGAGTGAATGTGTGGAAGTATTCCGCTCATTAGCATATATTTAACTCCTCATTACGCAGTCCAGTTAGCATTCTTCTGCAAAAGAAGGTGGTTCATCCGAAATACAGTTCAAAAAATGAAGTTGATGTTGTACGCTAACCCAAGTGGCTGAATGATACCGTAGCTACTGAGTATAGCAAAGTAGTTCTTGTCTCAGGTAAGGTTACTTCATCAACTACACGAAGTTGACATTCGAGCGAGCTAATTGAGACGGCCGGCTTATTGGACAGTTGAGAATAGCAAGGAAGTAGATAGGCGTAGCTAGGTCTAATTAATTTAATGTCATAATTATATTCTGCACATCTTTTCCTTCAGATCAATGACTAATGCCATTTTAAAGATTTATTCTCTATAACTTTGATTTTATAACTGTAACTATTGCTAATTATTACCGATTTTCAAATGTCTATTTTGAGTAGAGAGTGATATCATGGAATCCTCGTGGTCATAGACACTGTCATTCTCAGGAGTAGCCAGACTTACCCAGTGCTGCTGGTTATTCCACTCTCTGTTAATCGAATCTTTGACCTCTGATTTGGCAGACATGCACAGTAATCATTGGTGGTACTGGCGCATATTAACTATTAGAAGTCATATTTTGATTAGAATTAGGTGTATATCTGCGGATCATCCCTGTTTGGAGTTTAGTCCGAAATATTTGGTATCAGTATTGGTTCGTATAATGGCTTTGTTTGAATAAGAACTTGCCCTTTCATTAATTTAATTGTCTTGTACTAGCAGCTTAGTCCACTATTTTCTACCCATGTTGGCATTAATGTCTTTTAATAACTCCTTTTGTAGATCTCAACAACAATCCCCTGAGCCAAGCAACTGTGGAACTCTACGGTGATGGGTCGGAGGTATCAGTACGATCTATGATTCGCAAGTACTTGGACGTCTACGCTCGTCGTAAGTTCTGCTTTTTCTGCTCTTTTTTTAAGTTGTCTTTCCATTAATCCTGGTCTGTCCCTCAAATGTACGTCGATGCTCACCCGATTCTCACCCGTTAAGAGTGCAAACAGTAGAAGTACACACATGTACTGTTTTATCACAAATACGCGCACATTACCTACATAAGAATGTTCTCGTTAGTGGGCTTTTGACTGATGACTTTTAATGACACGCTTTTACAACTGTTGTGATGTTGCGATGTGCTCATTCCGCGCAAAATTACTTACTGCTTAAGATGTATTAGTAGCCTGATAATATTTAACTTCGATCTACATCTTCGTATATCTTGAATTGTGAAATTTACTACGATCCATTTTAACCTATGCTTTCTTTCCACAAACCATTTGCACCCCCCCCCCCTATGGCATTTCTGTGATTAAGACATTTCCCAAAATGACGCGCTTCATCTTCTGCATCCTTATCTGGTATTTTGTCAGAAAATCTTCCTCAGAAATTGATATTTTGATGGACTTAATTGACAGAATTGTACTTTAATCAATCCGAAAGTTACAGTTTAGTTTTCTTAATCTACATCCTCATTATTCTTTTAAATCAAGATTTAGAAAGTCGAACAATTTCCACTTTCGTAAAAGGAGATCTACTCTCTCACCTGTTTGAAATTAGCAATTGGCGATTTGATCTAAAGTGAAAATTACAATGGAAGAATAAAATCGAATTCCAATTTACGACTATCTGTTTATTTCTTTTGCCTAGTTGAATTACCACATTATCGCTGATCCTTTACCTAGTTGAATATTATTTAAGAGACCTTTCCATCTGGTAGTATAATACATGGCAATCGAATGCCATCGGCAGTTCTGTAGAACCTGATTGTACTGTCTGAAAGAGTACATTTATCGGCTTGTTTAGTCTCTCACTTTGTACCTCTATTGATTTCCCATACTTTTAGTCCGGTCATTTGCCGTTGAGTGAAAATTCTACAACTCCGCTGATCTGAAGAATCTGAATATTATTTTCCAAGGAATCAGAGAATACGTGGACGAAGAGAGGTACACACTCTAAATTGAGCCTCTTATTGCATCCGCTGTTCTTAATTCCAGTGTCTTATTCATAAAAAGCTTATTTGCCTCTATTTTAATCGATCCCGGAAAGTAAAAATTTTATGTTGAAGTTAAGTGTTTGATATTCATTAGTTTCGCTTTAAATACCCGAAGATTTAGTATCTGAGGCCTCAATTACTAATCGTCGGTTGTTATAATACTTGTAATGCTTTGCTTTACTACGTTGTAACGCTCGGATCTGTTTTAGGCTTGAATGGAATAGGTGAAGTCATTTACATATTCACGGTTATTCTATAATGTGTTATTCATTTTTGTTAACAATCAGCTTAAGCCATGTATTCAACCAGAGCTTGAATATTGTGAGAATTTTCCGTTTTTTTCGTATGAAAAATTAATATCCTTTTACCTTTAGTTTTTTTCTTCAAAGAAACTTAATTCCTCTTATCCAAAAGTTTAAAATAGTTGTAGTTTCAAATAAATGTTAAACTCCAATCTGATCATCCTTTTTTTGGGAATGTTCTTTCACTGTCCCCCAATTTCCTATTTTTTATAATTGCGACTGAGGCTTCTCTGAAAGTTCGCGTTGATTAGTACTTCTCTGTTTTCCAAAATTCTTAATCACACGAACATTCCTTTGTGTCTCCTCGTGTGTGTGCAATTTTCTAAATTATGCGCGTGCAGTCGTCAGTCGACACAAGAGTACACGCCTCTCCTATTGGATAACCTTCATAGCTGACGCAGATTCCTCTTGCGTAATGATTGGCTACACATGAAAGCAGCCAATGGGTGCCTCCCATTTGCTGTCCATTTAAACAAGTTGTAGAAAGACGATGGCATAATACGTTTTCACGCACGCAGCAGCAATTTGCTGAGACTCGTTAATTGTCTCGTCTCTCTTCTATTTCACTTTATTTTCATGGAGACGAAACTTGCAGATGACACGTGTAGTACTACTAGTGCTTCTAGTTCCAGCACTGGTTCTACTCGCTGTCTCATTAGTGCCTATGAAATAAATTCTCGATCAAGACCTCGGTCTGTTAAATGGGTGGCTCGTAAAAAGGCTGATTCTCTCTTGTCTAATTCTGAGCTGGATTATTGCAGTTCACCGGATTCTGCCGTTGTCACTGCCAGCGAATCTTTGGGAAGCTCGGAGAGCATTGATTCTCTTGATTCTAATAAGATTGTCCCTTCACCGACGAGAACTAAGGCCCCTTCACCTCAGAAACGTCGGAACAATCGAAGATGTAGGCGATGGTGTCAGATGAAACGTGATTCTGTCGACTCCTGTCTCTCAACAGAGTCCTCTTCAGATAACTCTGTCAACAATGTGGAGATGAAGAAGGTTTCGATCAATAGAAAATCTCTTGCAGTTGTCCGGAATACTCTGCAGTGTCCTCTCATCTTTCCACCAGGATCCTATCCTCCAGATCAGATCACTACTCTCCCCTACTACATGCCGTACTTTCCTGCCTTTCCACCGCCGACTCAATTACTCTCCTATCCCTATCTAAATCTTGGAAGGGATAGGTTTGTTCCACATACTAATTCTACTCATCCTTCCTCTGCCTCTCCATGCAGAAATGTGACGATCGATTTAACCGGTCATGACGTCTCCTATTCTGTCGAAAATCTACCTCCAATCGTTCCTTCTTCCAGCAGTAGTATACCACACTTTACGAAGCATTATAATCACAGTAGGCAAACGCCTCAACCCCTAATGGAGGTAAACACGAATCTCTTCCACGTCTCACCATCCTATTCCACTATTTATCCCCCTTCTCCTTTTGCTCAAAAATCAAATTTGCATCAGCAACAGCATTGTCCATATGTATATATACCTGCTCCCCTAAGAGTTCCACGAGCTCTTGATCCTTGCCAATCGCTCAAAACATGTGCCGTCCCTTTTAGCGAGTTTTCCAATTGTGAGCACTTTGCCTATTTAAGAGGAAGAAAATCCTAATCTCTGATCTTGTGTGCATATAGTTACACTCACGATTTTTTTCTTCAGACATCAATTCTACTCCGCCAATGAGAAAATGGCGATCACTTGGCAATTCCTCGAAGAATGGATGTAAGTTATTCTTTTGCAATTGATTTACTCTTTCATGCGTCATGCTACCTCTACATTCTCACTCAAGCGCCACTCCCAGTAGAGGCATTAGCAAGAGAAGTACTAAATAGAGAGAGAGGGAGAGAGTAGCCTATCGATTGTTAGCGCTGTCCAATAGCCACTCTGCCTAGGCCAGTGCTTAACTGCAACTTTGCTTGCAAACCTCTGCTCGCTCTAACTCTTACTCTACTTGCCTAAGAGACCATGGAAATTGGTCCCCCCCCCGTCCAAATCTCCTGGCCCCTGGAAAATGGGCCTTGACCACTGGAGTTATATTATCACGCGCTCTTTTGGTCGTTTGAGCTAATTGATCTGAAAAGGACCTTAATGAATGCTTTAAGCAGACAAAAGAGCATAAAGTCGAAGGTCAATTCCATGAGTTATTCTCTTAGTGTCAGTAGAAGAGGTGTTATGCGTACACCTTTGAATAGATAATAAATTTTATTGCTGATAATAATAAGTTTTATTCGTTGAACTTTGGAATCCAATTTTGACTTTTGAAGAGGTGATGAGCGATATGGGCAATTTATCAAAGAAGAGGGGTGCAAAGAGGGAATTTGGAGATTGCAAGAGTAGGAGATAAACGTCAGTGTAGGAATAAAGGAAGCGAAGAGGTGTTCAAGAGGTACACTAAGTGAAATTTCCTGTTTCGCAATATTTGTACAGCTCTTTCGACAAAATACTAATTGTCTCCTAGGCAATACACAACATCCGATCTTAAGTCACCTTCGATTTAGAATGATAGTCAAGCACTTTGTTACTATTGGGTGGGCAATTAAGCCATTGCCGTTTTTGTTAACAGATTCACTCTATACTTTCTTTTGTTTTGTTAACGTGGCCAGAGCATCTAACCTATATTTTTTTCTTACTGTATGGGCTTCTAGGATAATAAGTAAAAATTTTTTTTGTTTAGTCCTTTAGTTTTGTTTATATCCCAATTTAAAAATGAAAGAACAGGACGTGCACTTCCGACACATTTTATTGTATTACTCCCGAAAAGGCAAGAACGCATCGCAAGCACAAAAGAAGTTATGTGCCGTATATGGAGATGAAGCCTTAAAAGAAAGGCAGTGTCGAAATTGGTTTGAAAGATTTCGTGATTCCGGTGATTTTTCACTGAAAAATTCACAACGATCTGACCGCCCAGTCGAAGTGGATGAAACCCATATCAAGGCCATTATCGATTCAAATGGTCACAGCACAACACGAGATATTGCAGAGAAGCTCAATGTGTCGCATACATGCATTGAAAAAAAAATTAAAAACCCTTGGTTATGTCAAGAAACTTGATTTATGAATCCCTCACCAGTTAAAGGAAATTCATTTGACGCAACGGATTAGCATCTGTGATTCGCTACTGAAACGCAATGAGAATGATCCATTTCTGAAGAACCTAGTTACTGGCGACGAAAAGTGGATAGTTTATAACAATGTTACTCGCAGGAGATCATGGGTGAAGCAAGATCAACCAGTCCAAACAGTATCAAAAGCAGAGATTCACCAAAAAAAGATTATGCTGTCAGTCTGGTGGGATCACAAAGGAATTTTGTATTTTGAACTCATGCCGCAGAACCAAACGATAAATTCAAATGTGTATGTTGAACAACTGGAAAAACTGAAGGATGGATGCAATTGAAGATAAGCGGCCGGCATTATCAAATCGGCGGAAGGGTGTTGTTTTCCATCATGATAACGCAAGGCCCCCGCACACATCTTTGGTTACTCGGCAAAAATTATTGCAACTGGGTTGGGATGTTTTGTCACACCCACCATATAGCCCTCACCTTGCGCCTTCGGATTACCATTTGTTTCGTTCCATGCAAAACTCTTTAAATGGTAAAATTGTTAACAACGCGGATGATGTCGGATCACACCTAATTCAGTTTTTTAATAGCAAAGACCAGACATTTTACGAACGGGGAAGTTTTACTCTGCCAGAACGATGGGAAAAGGTCGTCGACAAGAACGGCCAATATCTAATTGAATAAAGTTATATTTTTAAACAAAAATTCCGAATTTGCCTTCTTATTTGAAATCGGCAATGACTTAGTTGCCAACCTAACAGATTCTCTAATGCCTCCATATAGTGCAAATAGTACTAGTGATAAGTCTTTTGCCCGCTCAAGGGAGGCCTTTTCGAGCACTGATCTTCTTTTATTCTGCCGGCTCTTGATTGGGTTTTTAGCATTTTTTGCACGTGGCTCCCTTGATTTGAAGGCACGCGCGATTCAAAGCCTCTTGTTTACTTCATATATTTCACTTTGCAAATGGGGGTCATGCTGGTGAAGTGTTCTAAATATTTTTGAAGCGCCAGCTACTTGGCATTAGCATGCATATTTTCCTCTGGTAACATGTTTGATGATCAACCTGTATATCCCTCTTTATTCTAGTTCGATTTAAAGTGATGAGTTACAACGTGCTGAGTGCCAACTATGCCACGATGAACCAATTCCCCTACTGTCCGTCTTGGGCCATCGACTGGGAGTACCGTAGGCGAGGGATTTTGGAGGAGTTGCGCCGTTACTCTCCTCATGTGATCTGTCTTCAGGAGATTGATACGGATCAATTTGAGACCATCTTCCAACCTGAATTGGCCAAGAACAACTACGAAGGCATCTTTGTGGTAAAGACACGAGCACATACTAAAGACGCGGTTGCGGCTCGTAAGGTTGATGGTTGTGCAATCTTCTGGGATAGCACAAAGTTCAACAAGGTCGCCACGTTTAAACATGAATTTGGATACTCTTGTTCTCATCTTGGCATTAATCCCTCTTCCCTTCTCATTGAACGGGTGATGATTCGAGACAATGTGGCTATTGATGTTGTCTTAGAGGTGAAAAATTCGGGAGCTGCAAATGGAAAAAGGTTCTGTGTCGCCACTGGACATATTCACTGGGATCCAGAGTGTTCTGATGTGAAGTTAACTCAAACAATTCTCTGGACGTCAGAATTGTGGCAGTATCTGGAGAAGCTGTGTGGTTCTGCTGCAGCCGCTGCTCGTATGCCCGTTATCATCTGCGGTGACTTTAACTCTTTACCTCAGTCGGGCGTAGTGGAATTCCTCTCAAACGGCAGTGTTCCTATCAATCATGCTGAATTCCTCGATAATGGGTTCAAGTTCAATTTTCAGGATTGGAATATCCTTGATAAATCCACCTTCGACAATAACACCGTGCACCATCACTTCAATCTTGATCGCGCTTATAAGAATCCTACTGACGGAATGGAGTATACTAATATGACGTGAGTTTGAAAGATTTTAATGATTTCTCCTGTTTACATTACGGTTTCTTATCGTTATTTGTTTTTATTCAGGTATGACTTTAAGGGTGTGATTGATTACGTCTTCTTCTCAAGGAATGCCTTCCGTTTGTTGTCCAGCTTGGACCAGATTCCTGATTCGTGGTTCACTAGTGAGCGTGTCCTCGGTTGCCCGCATATCCACATTCCATCTGACCACTTTTCTCTCCTTGTTGAACTGGACTTGTTAGCGAATCCCAGCGGCGGTGGTGGTGGTCGTGGCTTGGCCATTTCTGATCCCCCTGAAAATACATCTGCTAACACTGGAGGAGATTCAAATAGTGGAAATCAGTCCTCCTCTGGAGGCGGAAGTCAAAATTCGTCATCTCCGTCTACGAATAGTCCCAAACCTAAGGGGTCTGCTGGAAATAGGCAAAAGCAGGGGAAACGCTGAAAAAGCCATGTGGTGGTCACACGCGCTATTTTTCATCTCTCTAAAAATCAAACTAACAACCTAACGTGTATATAGGACTCTGTCTCCCCCTCTCCCTCGCCCCACCTACTACCAGTCTCCCCTCCCCTTTTTCTTTCAAACCGTTCCAACATCCCAAGGCAGCAATACCCTTTTCTCCCGTCCCCTTTTCCTTTTCCCTTTTCTCATTTATTTTGTGTACACGTGTCTCTCTCTATCTTAGCATCTCTCCAGGCGTAAATTGGTTTTTTTATTCGATCTCTGATATTGTTGCCGTAACCATCATCATCATTTCATTGTCGTCTCGCCACTGTCGTCTTTCTGTTGTCTCTCAGTGCCTCACCGCGACTGTTTTATCACCTGATGAAGTACGCATTCTGTCACCCAAACCTCTCCCTTCTTTGTGTCAGCCAGTGGCAATCAATAAGCTGTCATTATTTCAAAGCGCGTGTGTTTCCACTTTTCTCATCGTCAATCATTTCCTTGAATCATTTCGCTGCCCCCTTTTCACTCTCTCTCTCTCTCTCTTTACTCCTCTCCACCTTACTGTGGGTATGCTGGAACGGTTCCTTTTCCCTACTCCCTTCCCTTCAGACTAAAAGCACTTTACCAACCAACTAACTACTACATATAGCTATGTAATAAAACTGCCTTTGGCTATATCGTTTTTCAAATCCAGATATAAGCAGGCTTTCTTTATTTCTTGTTGATTTAGACTTTGATCATTAGATTGGAGCATGTGTGAAGAGTGTGTCTATTGCCAGAAATTACGATGATGGTGGTTGGGTGTGGGTTTTGTGAGTTCAAGGTTGTGACACTATGAGCAGACTTAGAGACGATGTTTTTGTGAGTGGGTTCTGCTCACGAGGTGTTTCTGTGGGCGTATTTAGGGTCGCCTCCGCTCTGCAAAGCATCCGAGTTCAGAGTTGGTGCCCTTACTCCTTGAATGAGTGATTATTATTCGTTGAGATATATATATATATATATATATATATATATATGCCGTTTGTCTTGAAGTATTCACACAAGATATGTCGAATGTAAATTTGCGAAAAACCTGGCACGTTTTCTCAAAGCTGTATTTCTTTTGGACCATTCCATGCCAATAGCAACTGGAATAAGAGCTATCAAAAGGAAATAAATGAGAAAAGTCATAAATTTTTAGGGCTTTTCTCACGCGTACACACTTACACGCTGGAGGCTTTTTTGGTATTTATTGGCGTCACGAGGGAGAGCCTGATCTCCCAGGTGCCGAAGTATCATCATAAAACCCTTAAACCCTCCTGCAATCTCACTTAGGAGAACTTACAAGTGAAATATCAAGACCACTTTATGCAAATTAAAATGTGTTCAGCGTAAATTAATGGAGAAATCGAGTGTCTCATAAGCATTTATGTGAAAAGAATAAGTAGGATATAGGACTTTAATAGGTGCTTTATTTGCTGCTTACAGCACTAACGTATAATTATTCAATTAAGCTGAAATTTGCATTGCATTTGTTTATGCGCTAAGGTACCCTACCGATAACTCCGGTGTGCTAACATGAGATTGCCCACTTTCATAAACAGGCATTTGAGCTCAATTCGTGACTACACATACACACACACGCACACGTTGAAGGGGATAACTGCGACTTTTTTCCCTTGCAGACAAATGGCTTGCAGCTATTTATGAGCCATAAACTTCATCCAATTAAGGGCATAAGCACCTAACCCCAAAGCAGACAGAGAACACGTTAAACATGACAGTTTTTTTAATCTTCAAGGTGAGCTTGACACCTTGGGGGGGGGGGGGGGGGGTTAACAAAGATAATTAAAACAAATTTAAGAATGACAATATGATTATGCAAAATCAGTACATTTAAAACACCTCGATGATGAGGTGATAAAATGTCTGGTTAAAACATTTTTTCCATTACCTACGGTGGAATTGTTGCAGAAGCGCGCACCTGGAGAGGCGAACGTTTCCGTTGGGAATTGAAATTACTGCTACTACTTCAAATGAAGTGAATTTCGATTACTCACTGACGCCTACCCATATGATATGATAGTTGAATTTATCGATTTATAAACTGTCGGTGTTATGAAGAAGAGCCGTTTATATGACTTTATGGCTAATCATTTATTTATAACAAATGGCAGGCGTCTTGATGGTTACCATTAGCCCTTTAGTTGACTTCAGGCTACACAGAGAGGAGGAGGAACATCAAAGTGACAAAAGTCGAGAGAAGGGGACAGAAGAGTGTTCCAAAGACAAAGGTAGAAAAGGTAGAAAAAAGGTTAGATGAGCACTGTAAATGGTAGAATATGACATATAGTGGGGTGATGGTAGTTTGATTTATCGCACGTTACGAAAGTTTAAAATCCTAACTCAAATTAGAATCTCTGTTTGTCAAATTGACAAAGTACGACCAATTCAAGATAATAATGACAAAAAACCTCTAATTTTCTATCAACCGTGACTTATCATTTGCTCATTCAGGCGTAATTTGAATGTTGGACATTCTTGGCATTCGATGATTCGGTGACTTACCCATAATCTAATCTATGATTACACTAATCTGATGATTAAATTATATATATATATATATATATATATATATATATATATATATATATATATATATATATATATACTTATATATATACATAAGTATATATATAAGTATTCTCCTAAAGGTGACCTAGTACTTCCAAAATGCAGCGCTTTACAGCTTTTGCTTGACTGCCAAGCGCTCACAAATGTGTTGGCACAAAGTTCATGACATGACCAACGACTGGGATATATCAAATTTCCTCACATGAATTCCTCCTGCTTAATCTTCCCTCCCCCCCCCTCCCACTTCAGGGGTATTAAATTTCCCCTGCACAGGGCTTTCTCAAATTCGATTTAGCGCAAGTGAATTTGCAGCCCCATTTTGATTAAATTAGATGGCCATATTCATGCAAAGATTAGTAGGCACATTGGTTATCTACTCATTGGCATTACTTATCTAAAATTGGTGCAAATATAATTATTGATATTCCCAACCATGAAAGCGATTCACAGAGATTTCATTATAGAAACATCGTAACAATAAATCAAATTACATACCGATGCTCTCAGATGCTTAAGCCAAATAGAAAGTACCTTGATCTCCATATCGTTAGCCTTGCTAATTAGGCTCAAGTACATTTTTTAACAGATAATTAATTAGATTTAATAAACGCTAAATCAATTTTTAAACTGCTCGATAATATAGTAACTATGGTGACAGTAGAAGTAGTATCGTTGGTTTGTATAAAGCCGATCGGATATTCTATTGGATATTATATCAAATGACAGGCTTTGTGATGGTTATTCTTAGTCCTTTAGTTGAATTCGGGCTTCACAGAGGGGAGGAACATCAAATGCACAAAAAAATCGAGAGGGGGGGACAGAAGAGTGATTCACATGTGAATAAAAAGTGACAGACACAAAGGCAGAGAAAAGGCAAGATGGGTACTGTGGAAGTTGTCAAATATGACATACAGTGGGGTTTGAAGTCAGGAGTCAACTGCCGGTTAATAGACCTTTTTGCCGTATGTGTATACGTTGCCAAGGGTGCACCACATGGAGGTAAGTCTATCGCGCACTCCAAATGGTAATAATTCAATTGGCTGTAACACATTGTTAACGAAAATGTATAACAGTGAAAATCTTTGGTCTTCACAATCCCACTTCCAGTTCTCACTTCAAATAGAAGACTCAGTAAAATGCAATGCTCTCCCAGATCTCAGGCCAGTGGGCCATGGGCATATAATGTCAGTGTTTGCATTTCCGAACCGAATTCTTCAGTCTCCACTCTCCCCTCCCTCTAGTCACCCCTACACCAAACTAAACTAGTCAAAGGAAAAATTAATGCTTATTAGATCATTTATTTATATCAAATGGCAGGCGTTTTGATGGTTATCGTTTTTGACTTCAGGCTTCACAGAGGGGAAGGGCCGACTTCAGGCTTCACAGAGGGGAAGGAACATCAAATTGATGACTTCAGGCTTCACAGAGGGGAAGGAACATCAAATTGAGAAAAAAGTCGAGAGGGGGGGGGAACAGAAGAGTGCTTCAAATAGAAAAAGGTGAGGTGAGTACTCTGGAAGTAGTCGAATATGGCATACAGTGGGATCATGGCAGTTTGAAGCCAGAAGTCAACTGCTGGTTTATAGATTTTTTTGTCGTATGAGTATACGTTGCCCAGGGTACACCACGTGGAGGTAAGTCTATCGCAAACCCCTTATTAAGATCATAAGTAAGATCAATAGCAAAAAATATTAGAACACTGTGCCCCAAAGGCGACTAAGCTTACTGTTTGAATTAATTTTAGCATCAATGTCACTTCTCAGTGTGATATACGTTTAAATCATGTATTTGGAGCCTAGATTCTTGTTAAATCACCCAGTTTATAGCTGGTTGGGTGTAAATTTTTGTAATTAGCGCGAATGACTCCAGTGCTCGTAATGCCTCCTCGTTGTAAATTATGCTTAAACAATAATCTTAAAACTTGACTTATATTGAACAAGCACAGCCAAACTCAAGCATTAAATGACATTAGGCTTTCGGCTTTCTAATACTACCTATTGAACCCTCCATCGTATTACCTACTGAAATCCCCACCAATAATTTCAGTAGCTTTCCCTACAATCTTAGAGCGTGAAATTTTCTACTATTGAGAGTGATGGCAATGGTAAAGCTCTTGACAATTACTGGTTTATAATAAAATGAAAAAAATTATGCTAAAATCGTGTCTAATCCTAAATGTACTTTTTGTTCTTAACAAAATCACTTTGGATAAAATATCTCATACCCCCAATAAGGTCGCATGAACAGACATAACAAATGCGCATGATTAATTTCTTACAGACAGCTGTACAAAGTTGGCGGTATATTTTCAACAACAAATACAATTTATGGAATACACGTCTATTCTCTTTAATAGGAAAGCAATGTAATGTAGGAAAACTGCG